TGAGATGTGTATCTTATGGATACTTATTATTTGATGATGAGAATGATAAGGAGTAGGTATAAGAACCTACATATATATTTATGAGTAGGCCCTGGTACTCCCAACAAAATTCTAAAAGAGATGGGAATACCAGACCACCTGACCTGCCTCCTGAGAAATCTGTATGCAGGTCAAGAAGCAACAGTAGGAACCAGACATAGAACAACAGACTGGTTCCAAATTGGAAAGGAGTACGTCAAAGCCGTATATTATCACCCTGATTATTTAACTTACATGCAGAGTACATCATGAGAAATGCTGGGCTGGATGAAGCATAAGCTGGAATCAAGATTGCCAGGAGAAATATCAATAACCTCAGATATGCAGATGACACCACACTTATGGCAGAAAGTGAAGAAGAACTAAAGAGCATCTTGATGAAAGTTAAAGAGGAGAGTGAAAAAGCTGGCTTCAAGCTCAACATTCAGAAAAGTAAGATCATGGCACCTGGTTCCATCACTTCATGGCAAATAGATGGGGAAACAATGGAAACAGTGACAGACTAACTTTTGGGCTCTAAAATCACTGCAGATGGTGAAATAAGCCATGAAATTAAAAGATGCTTGCTCCTTGGAAGAAAAGCTATGACAAACCTAGACAGCATATTAAAAAGCAAAGACATTACTTTGCCAACAAAGGTCTGTCTGTCAAAGCTATAGTTTTTCCAGTAGTCATGTATGAATGTGTGAGTTGGACTATAAAGAAGGCTGAGCACTGAAGAATTGATGCTTTTGAACTGTGGTGTTGGAGAAGACTCTTGAGAGTCCCTTGGACTTCAAGGAGATCCAGCCAGTCCATCCTAAAGGAAATCAGTCCTGAATATTCATTGGAAGGACTAATGCTGAAGCTGAAACTCTGATACTTTAGCCACCTGGTGCAAAAAACTGACCCATTGGAAAAAATCCTGATGCTAGGAAAGATTGAAGGCAGGAGAAGGGGATGGCAGAATATGAGATGGTTGGATGGCATCACCAACTCAATGGACATGAATTTGAGTAAGCTCCAGGAGTTGGTGATAGACAGGGAAGTCAGCGTGCTGCAGTCCCCGGGCTCGCAAAGAGTCAGACATGACTGAGTGACTGAGCTGAACTGAACTCCCAACAAGGAGAAGAGATGACTATAGCAATTCATCAATTCAGCAACTATAGAATAAATCAAACTGTTTTGTTTGTTTTCACCAGAACCCTATTTTATTTGACATAACATACGTCTTTATTTTTGCATTAATGAAACAATTATTTCTCAATATATTAATATATGAAAAATTAGTCTGCCTTTAGTGAAATAAAGTATCTGTTTCACTCTGCATAATTCAGTAGAAGTGGAATATATTTGATTTAGTTTTTTAATGAAGTAAAGAAGGTTTAAAAAAATCTTCCTTATATAGAATTTCAATATGTATGCAGTTCTCAAATAAATGAGAAAAGAAATTAAAGGAAGAAGAAAATTGAAAATGTAAAAACATGTAAAATACATACTAAGGAAGAAAAAAATATTATAAATCAGCGTATTACATACTGAAAGTTTTGACAATGAAAAAGCCATTATCCCTGGCCCCTGGAAGAGTGGTCACAAATTTGGGCTGGGATTAGATGGACGTGGGCTGAAACCTCGGCTCTACCAGTTTGCTAGGTAAACTGACTTACTTGAGAGATTGAGATAATAATGCTATGGCACTGTTTCTTTTTGGGGGGGATAAAACCCAATAATGTAAGTACTACAGTGGTTAGAGCTACAGAAAACATTTGCTAAATGAGAGATGCTCTTATAACTATCATTTTAAGGATTTAAAATCCATTGTGAAGAAAAAGCCACTAAATAAGAGAAACACAAACAGAATATGGTTACTGCTTTAAAACAACTATCAGTGCTATAAGCACTTCAGGAGAAAAAAAGAGGAATTCTAGCTGATAAAAATGGCAAAGCTTTCATGGCAGAAGTAGCATTTATATTAAACTTTCTCAATCAATTAGGAGTTGTATAGGGAATAAGCAGAACAAGTCAGGCACCAATCCACATATACAAAGATGTGTATGTGTCTGTAGGTAGAGATGGAAGTGGTGGGAAATTTGGTGATGATTAAGTACACCATCCAGAGAAAAGGTTACTGTGCTGGTGTGGTGAGGAGGAAGAACTGAGGAAGAAAGCAAAAGGAGAAGGAACATTAAGAATTATGAGAATTAAGTCGGGGCCAAATTACAGAGAAGCTAAAACACAATGCCCACAACTTTTGTCTTTGTTCTCTAGTACAACAGCCAATGAAGTCACAGAGCAAGAAAAGACACATTATTTATTTGAAACAAAACAACAGTAAGTCACTTGTAAGACATTTATCTTATGTTACCCCAAAATGTATAATCTGTTTCTTCCCAGCTATTTCTAAGCAATGTATCTCATTCATTGCAGATGAAATCCACTGATTCTCTGAGCTAAAATGTTTCTGTATCGTCAATGGACAGGCTATGGGTAAACAAATGAATTCAGATGAATCAGCAGAGAGATGGGCTTTATATCTTTTTTTTTTTAACTAAAAACAAACAAACAATCAAAAACCCACATATCTAGAAAAGGATATTAAATATTCTGAAGAAAAACATTGCAAGGGTAGGGGCTTTCTCCTTCCTGTGTGAAAAGTATATAGAAGATGTTTAAAACCAACTGCTTAACAAATTTTGCAAGAAGAAGAAGAGGTAGAGCTGACTCATGTTGCTTGGCTTTTATTATTGCCACAAGCATAAACATCACGATGGAAAATGAAGTTCTTGGGAAGGCAAGCAAGGATACTGAGAACAAATCATAGCAACTGTCTCAACTCACATTGAAGACCACGGATGTCTCCAAAGACAGCTCTGAACAATCCCATCTTCCTATATACACACTCCACTTTTCCTGTAAGAGGATGTTTTTGCTTGTCCCTGTTGACCTGGAGCAGAATTTGTAGTATTCTGATCAACATAATGTGGAGGAAACAAGATCTGGTGACTTTTGAGCTAAGGCGTTAAGAGGGCCTGCAACTTCCATCTTTCTTTTCTTGGATCCTTGAACCAACATGTAAGAAATCCAGACTCCCCTGCTAGACTCAAATACTGAGCCCTGAATCCAGACATCATTTTAACTATCAGTACATGGGAGACTGCAAGTGAAAATGCTATAGAAATGGACCCCCTGACATCCCTACCCAGCCAACCCACGGAATCGTGAAACAATAAAGTGGTTGCTATTATTCTTGGTGCTGTGTTAAACAGCAATATTTAACCAAAAAAAAATTAGATGTGGACCTGTGAAACCACAGGAAATTTTCATAACTCTGGAACACAGCAGTCCTCTATGAGCCTACTATTACATTCTCTTACTATGAAGTAAGATAATAACTCCCTATCTCACTGATGATGTGGGGTTGAAATCAAAGTATGATTTTGAGATACAATATAAGATTCCTGGTTAAATTTGAATTTCAGATAAACACAGCTTTTTAAAAATATATATATATAATTATGTTCCCATGCAATATTTGTTTGCTGTTAATCTGAAATTCAAATTTAACTGGGCATCCTGTACTTTGATTTGCTAAATCTGGTAATCCTACACACAAAGGATTGCTTTCTCTTAACTTTCTTTTTTTTTTTTAAAGAGAAATAATGATTCCAAAAGCTTTGGAGGTATAAATGTACATCAATTCTTTGTGTATAACATTGTTGAACGCAGTTAGAGATACTGGAATGAAAGACACAGTTGTTAATAGCTCATAGTAACAACTTTTTCAAGTTCTAGGAAGAGCAGATGGGGTAGAATCCTGAACATAGAGAATGAAAATTACACAGCTACCCAGGAGGATAGTCCTGAGGGTGAGAATTCCTGAGTTGGGTGTAGGTTATGGCTGGGTATTGGTTCAGTGCTCCTTCCTCAGGCAGATTGCCTCACCATAATAGCCTGCTTTCTCATTTGCATCTTAAGACAGGTTGTGCTAAATTCCTTTCAGCTCTTACATTCCGTGATTTTAAGTGCTGATAGTAGAACTAGGATTTGCATTCGGGTCAAAAAGTTGAGAAACTGGAATTTCCCCAGCCTTCAAAATTGTGCTTTTACACAGCAATTATTACCTGGCTGAGGATCCCTACTTATTCTATTTCCAAATCTACTTCTGAATTAAAAGATTGCTCAGGCTATTTTACTAAATTTTCCCACTAAACCACAATAATATATTGCATTAAAAGCTTACGGGTGAAAAGTTTTTGCCATTCTTTTATAAGTTAATGGTGACCAAGTTAAAGCTGTATGTGCAAAGGAACTCCAGTTATTAAATAGTAGAAAGGAACAGAAAGCAAACATCTTTAAAAATAGCTAAGTCTTCATATCTCTGGAGGAAAAAATATATAACTTGTGGCATAATACTAGACTTCTGTTATACGTAATAAATCCTTTCTAATCCTATGTTCATGATAACCTAAGGTTAAAAGGAGCCTTAACTTAAACAGGAACTAATTTCTGAAGCATCCTGAAGAGTTAGAAGAGGAAATTGGTAGGGTCTCCAAATGACTAGCTGTTTCCTTTAAGTATTGATAATAAAAAAAATAAAATAAAATGTTAGATTTTTAATCTAATATAATCAATTTACCAACAGTCTCTAAACATTTACTATGTACCAGGCACTTGGAGGCATTTCATTTCAACCTCAAAGCCCTATCATGTATTATTAATTCCATTTTCTGGGTCTGGAGAGGCTTAGAAAGGTGAAATCTGTTCCTGAGATCTCATAACTGATGATAGCAGGGCCAGCATTTGAATGTAACCCTGCCTGATATTGTCACTTTCTCCTACTTTATGTTTGCCACAAAAATGGGTGAGTTACGTAAATGTGGAAAGTATATATTCACTGTTCTTGCTCTGTGTTCTAAATTAATGTAAAAAAAAAAAGGTTATTTCTATGTGGTGTTTGTCTCCATATCTTTCTTTTCACTCACCTGTCTGCGAAGGTCTCTTGTCTTCTTACACATATTTTCTATTGCAATATTCAGGGTATTACTCCTTTCCTTTTTTCCAGTCTACAAGGGAGAAAAAAGAAAAAGGCATAAGCAATGGTATTGAATTACTCTTTATCACTTAGCAATCTGCTTTCTAAATTTCCTGAAAATAACAGCTTGAACATTCAAGAATAGGTCTCAAAACTGCTATGATACTGCATATGATTCATGAGTACTTCACTTAAGAGTAAGTTTGAATGGTGGTTAAAGTTCACATTATTTTCTTCTTTAAGCTTCTGTAATATTTTTGATATAGGGTCGGACTGCATTCAGAGTGGCAGTAGGCAGAGCATTATCTCCAAGAAACCCTGATCTTCATTCTTAACAAGCTGACTCTAACTGCAAAGCATGCAATTAGCTTAAAAGCATTAGATGCCCAATTTGTCAACTTCTGTGGGAGTTTCTGAAGTCATTTTCGTGGTGTATTGTGTAAGTTATGCAGAGCCATATTGGAGTTTTGCTAAACACTAAATAAAATATGCAGTGCAAATTCATACAATTTGCAAAAGTTGACCACAAATTTAGCTGACAATATTCCAAGAACAAATTGTTTCAAGTAAAAACTGGACGCTGTTTTTGGCTCTTTGGGATAATTTGTGCAACACCTTCTTGTCCTTTAAGCCGAACAGTTCTATTATATCCTTAACCTAAATCTTTAGGCTATTAAGCACATAGAGAGTCACCTTGGTTGGTATTTTCTACATATTACTTTTGTGGGAGACAACCGAATTGAATCTAATCATACTTTTCTAGTGATATCTTATATAAAAGAGATTGAAAAAAATCATTATGTGATTCACCTCTAGGAATATTGCTACTATTTAAAATTACAAACTGAAAGGGCTCTTGACAGGAGACCTTGAAAATCAGGAAAGCAGGTTTAAGCAGCTGATATCCGAAGGAGTTTACATAACGGACAGTATGAAAGGGCATGGAGAGGAAGCATAGAACATTAGGCAATGTGCCATACGCTGCTCCCAAGGACTAAACTCATATATGAATCCATATCTCCAAGTGGAAAGACTCCTTTAAAAGAAGTTCAAGACCATTTATACTCTACCCAAATCTGTGTTTTTAGTCAAATCTTCTGCCACATCATTTTAAGTCCTATTCTTAACAGTAACAATATTTCTATACATTTTTCTCTCTTCTCCCAAGTTCTTACATATATATTTGATTGTCACAAGTGTCTCCCCAAATCATTTTCTATTAAAATCTTACCTGTTTCCTAAAAAAATTAAAATAAAATAAAATAAAATAAAATCTTACCTGTTTCTTAATGGTTTCCACTGAGTTACCACCCCCCCCCCAATACCTGTGCTCAAAAGTAAGCCCTCACCTCTCCTTGTTCTGATAAAATGATCTAATAGCATTTAAAAATTTTCCCAAAATGCTCATTTTGTTTCTGTACAGGTTAATCACCTTTACAGTAATGTTAGAATCTTGATATTGGCAAGTATATCTTTTTTTTTAAATTCCTGAAAGTAACTTGTATAGAATTTATTAAATAGTATTGACTAGTTTATAAATAAACAACTTGATTCAAAACACAATATAGTTTTATTAAGAACCTACTACAAGAGATTTTAGCATCTGCTTATCAAGGCACAGCTAAAATCCTCTGTTAGCCAAGGTTGCTGGTACCCATGTAAACCTGTTAGATCTAGTTTTGCTCAGCAGTAACAGTACTGATATTTATGATTCAAAAGCACCACCATTTGAGCCCATTAAGTACATAGAAAGTTATGGGGCATCCACAGACCAGTCTACTAAATTCCAATAACAATGCCCAGGTACTATGACAGCCAACAACTGACCACACTCATCTCCAGATACCTCGTGGGGGAAGCACAGTAGAGGGTTATTAAGTCCATGACCACATTTTCCTTTTGAGAGTGAGTATGCAGTGTATGCATGGTGGAGACTGTCTCCAATGAATGAAGTGGGGAAAGGAAGAAGGGAGAAGTAGGAAAGAGAAATAAAATTCTAATTGTCAGAGCAATAAGGCCACGGTGGCTATTACTTGGATTGCCACCAGTACAGTAGGCTATAAGACAGTTTCAATTTGACTAAAGAATCTATCCCCTATCCTCTAGTTTAATGCAATGTTAGCTCTTGATTGTCTCTTTCCACTTCACAAAAGCAGAGATCGTCAATCAGAGGAAGGAATAGGACAGACCGAGAGACACCTCCCACCCCCAACGCACACAGGCATCAGGAATAACACAAAAGATTTCTGTGGTGTTGGTCATAAAAACTCACTAGTTTCTGTGATATGATTCATCAGAACAACTAAAAGATGTCAACTTCCTCAGAGTTAACAGCAACGACATAGAAAACTTTAATAAAGGATGACAGTGGGTGACAGCAGAAAGAGATTAAATAAGGACTGTAAAGATAATTTCCTAATTTCTCCTCAGAGTTTCACCTTAGTTTAAAAGGTTTAATTGGGTCAAAGACATTTTGTTCTCCAGATAATAAAAAACAGTCACTATAATTTCAAGAAATATAAAGCTTTCCTTTCTCTCATCCCTGTGTTTCCATCCTCCTCCCCCACATTTCTTCTTTCACCCCCGGCTTTTTATTGGGTCCTTGCTCTGTTTATACAGATTTATTTGGCTCAGTCAAGCCATTTTATGCCTCTTTAATCCTTTTGCATGGCATAAAAATAAATAAAGCAAGAAGAAATAGCCCCATCCTACTTAAAAGCCCTCATTCCTTCTGTTTTCAAAGCCTCAACAAATCATCAAGCAATGAGCTGGGACTGAAGGTGAATTGTATGTGCTGAGGTAAGGGACTGAAAGAGCAGGATATTAAAACATAATCACAGCTAACAGTGAAGAGCCTGCCTATATTCCCAGTGCTCAGAAGAGAAGATGCCCCTCAAAGGAAGCTTTAACAGAACATTTAGGGTCAGCACAGTCCTACTAATGGGAAAATGTACCACTTACAGTAAAGGGCGAGGAGAAAAACTCAGAAAACACAGCACAGATCAGCACTATACAGGGAAAACAATCATATTCTTCATCAGTAAACACACTGCAGCAAAGACTATCTCAAAAAGAACAGTTTTGAGTACAGACTTCATTCAATGAAACTCCATTATCTTATTATTGAATATACTAATTTTATTATGAATATTATAACTTTGTGAATGCTATAATATGAATATTCATAATATAATGAATATTTTGACTGAGCCAAATAAATCTGGATAAACAGAGCAAGGACCCAATAAAAAGTCAGGGTGAAAGAGAAGAAAGGTAGGGGAGGGTGATGGAAACACAGGAAAGAGAAAAGGGAAACCTGTCCCAACGTGATCTAGGCTTATAAATCTTAACTATGAGTCTTCCCGTGAATTCCGCTTAACCGTTGCTCCCATACAACTACCACAGTCAATTACTCTCTCTCATGTGGCTCCCTAAAGCTATCTACATATTTGGAAAACATCACTACATAAATAAACTCTCCTTGAATTATCTGAGTTTGAGTGTTCCATCTGTATCCTATTTGGGACCCTGGCTAGGGAGAACTTTCTAACACTGGATTGTTCAATACAACAGCTAACAGGCATATGTGTCTATTCAAATTAAATAGTATTAAAAATTCAATCCCTCAGTTTATTCAAAATGAACAATAGCCACGTGTGTCTAGTGGCTTCTGTACAGTATAGCACAGATACACATCTCTTATTTCAGAAAACTGTATTCAACAGCACTGTTCCAAAAGATACCTTTGTTTATTCAAATGTATAATGAATTCCTACTTTTTCACAAGTCACCTTTTATTTGAGAATAAAATAATGAACAAGAAATAAACAAACAAACAGACAAACAAAAAAACCAAACTCTCAAGGTGTTTAGCAAAGAAACTAGAGATTTAATTCTGTCCTCTTCTTTGTTCCAAAAATCATCCCTCTACTCCCATTTCTCATGGAATTAAGAACAAATTTTGATCACAGTATTCAGAGTCCCACAGGATCTACTTCCATATTTATTCATCAAACATTAATGAGATATGTTAATGAATCTTTTATTTTCTAGGCAATACACAATCACAGCTTGGGAACTCAGAGGAGGTGAGTTACAAATAGAACCTTATTTCAAATATATCAGTCTGGCTGGAGTTTGAAGAATGTACTGATATTTGAGGAGATTAAGAATAGAGACACATCAAAGAATTAGATGGCTGCAGCAACAGTCCACAGGAGAGAAGAAAAGTGTGAAAATCAAAGCAGAAGCTGTCATGAAACTGAGCAGGATCCTGTGGGGTACTGGGCATGGAAGTCTTCAGTGTCCCTCATTTCTTATTTGTAGGGAACAGACTCACACTTCCATGCATTCCAAAAGGCAGATTCAGACAGATGTTAATCAAGGAAGGGAGGAAATGCATAGACAAGGGAGGAGCAGACAAGAAACAGTCAGTTCAGTTCAATCAGGCTAGTCTGACTCTTTTGACCCCATGGATTGTAGCATGCCAGGCTTCCCTGTCCATCACTAACTCCCAGAGCTTGCTCAAACTCATGTTCATCGAGTCAGTGATGCAATCAAACCATCTCATCCTCTGTCATCCCCTTCTTCTCCTACCTTCAATCTTCCCAGCATCAGGGTCTTTTCCAATGAGTCAGTTCTTCGCATCAGGTGGCCAAAGTATTGGAGATTCAGCTTCAACATCAGTCCTTCCAATGAATATTCAAAATCAATTTCCTTTAGGATGCACTGGTTGGATCTCCTTGCAGTGCAAGGGACTCTCAAGAGTCTTCTGCAATACCACAGTTCAAAAGCATCAATTCTTCAGTGCTCAGCTTTCTTTATAGTCCAATTCTCACATTCATATATAACTACTGGAAAAACCATAGCTTTGACTACATGGACCTTTGTCATCAAGTAATGTCTCTACTTTTTAATATGCTGTCTAGGTTTGTCATAGCTTTTCTTCCAAGGAGCAAGTGTCTTTTAATTTCCTGGCTTATTTCACCATCTGCAGTGATTTTAGAGCCCCAAAAATAAAGGCTGTCACTGTTTCCATTGTTTCCCCATCTATTTGCCATGAAGTGATGGGACTGGTTGCCATGATCTTAGTTTTCTGAATGTTGAGTTTTAAGCCAGCTATTTCACTCTCCTCTTTCACTTTCATCAAGAGGCTGTTTAGTTCCTCTTCACTTTCTGCCATAAGGGTGGTGTCATATGCATATCTGAGGTTATTGATATTTCTCCCAGCAATCTTGATTTCACCTTGTGCTTTCATCCAGCCTGCATTTCACATGATGTACTCTGCATATAAGTTAAATAATCAGGGTGATGATATACATCCTTGATGTACTCTTTTCCAATTTGGAACCAGTCTGCTTTTCCATGTTTGGTTCTAATTGTTACTTCTTGACCTGCATACAGATTTCTCAGGAGGCAGGTCAGGTGGTCTGGGAGTCCCATCTGTTGAAGAATTTTCCAGTTTGTTGTGATGTACAGTCAGAAGCTTTGGCATAATCAATAAAACAGAAGTAGATGCTTTTCTCAAATTCTCTTGCTTTTTCTATGATCCAACAGATATTGGAAATTTATCTCTGGTTCCTCTGCCTTTTCTAAATCCAGCTTGAACATCTGGAAGTTCATGTTTCATGTACTGTTGAAGCATGGCTTGAAGAATTTTGAGCATTAATTGCTAGCCTGTGAGATGAATGCAATTTTGTGGTAGTTTGAACAATGTTTGGCATTGTCTTTCTTTGAGATTGAAATGAAAGCTGACATTTTCCAGTCCTGTGGCCACTGCTGAGTTTTCCAAATGTGCTGGCATATAGAGTGCAGCACTTTCACAGCATCATCTTTTAGGGTTTGAAATAGCTCAACTGGAATTCCACCACCTCCACCAGCTTTGTTCCTAGTGATGCTTCCTAAGGCCCACTTGACTTCACATTCCAGGATGTCTGACTCTAGGTAAGTGATCACACCATTGTGGTCATGATTATCTAGGCCATGAAAATCTTTTTTGTAAAGTTCTTCTGTGTATCCTTGCCACCTCTTCTAAATATCTTCTGCTTCTGTTAGGTCCATACCATTTCTATCCTTTATTGTGCCCATCTTTGCATGAAATGTTCCCTTGGTATCTCTAATTTTCTTGAAGAGATCTCTAGTCTTTCCCACAAGAAACAACAGTGCAGCCCTGGGGCAGGGTACTGGTTCCTCCTCAAGGGATCAACATAATAGTATCTTTCAGGTCTGCAGAACTAAAACCCGCACCAAAGGAAAGATGTTCCAAGAGAATGTCACAGTTTGATAAGCTTGAGAAACTCATCAGGAGACCACGTGAGGCCAGGTTAAAGGGGTGCAGGCCCTACCCACACTGACCCTCATCAGCAACTCTACCCTTGAACTATTACTCTAAAAGAAAGAAAAGAAAGAAAAGTGAAGTTGCTCACTCATGCCTGACTCTTTGTGACCCTGTGGACTGCAGCGTACCAGGCTCCTCCATCCATGGGATTCTCCAGGCAAGAATACTGGAGTGGGTTGCCATTTAAACGCTTCACCAAATCCTTCAAGGTTCGGACACAGTTTTGAGAGGCATGATCCTCCTGTGTTCCCGTCTGCCTGGCAAAGCAATAAAGATATTCTTTTCTATGCTACTGAAAACTCTGCTTCCAAGATTCAGTTTAGCACCAGTGCTCAAAGGCTGAGTTTTCAGTGCCAGTCAGGAAGAAGAAAATAGCCTTAAGGACTCTGAATGAGCAACTTGGGTAGGATGATGCTGGCAGATGCTGGAGGGTGAAGAAAAGAAAACAGTATCTCTCACTAGACTGTACAGTCCTTGAGGGACAGAAACTCTGTACATGTAATTGTCCCTCATATTACCTAGCACAGCGCTTTGCACATAGTAAGATCTCAGAGGTTATTTTCTGAATAAATAGAGGAAAGATGGAATG